CGCGCGTAGTCGAACTCGGCCTCCGCCACGTGCGTGTTGACGCGCTCGTGATAGACCTGGGGCGCCGCGGGGGGAAGGAGGTGGGAGTCACTTGTCTGCTCATCCTCGCCCGCCCCCATCACTGCTCTTGTTGCCTGGTCAGACCCTATGCCTATCGGGGTTTTGATCCCGGTGGGAGCCGGGTAGGATCTTCTCTTCTGTTTTATAGAGAAACTGAGGCCCGCAGTTTAATCAGCGAGTTAGAGATGAGGGCAGGACTCAACCTCATCCCTACCAGATGCGTTCTGATTTTAACTAAACTCTGCTTCCTTTGGGGGTCACGCCCTGGCCTCCAGCCTGCCTGTCCTCCCTTTTACAAGTGTGTTTCCCAATGGGCCCCAGAGGAGCTCCCTATCCAAGGCCTTTGTCTCCGGTCTCCCTGTTCACACCTTAGCAATCACGTGGCCCCCCTCCTGATTCTTAAGGCCCCAGGCTGCCTCTGCTTCGCATCCCAGTACTGAGACTGAGATCGCCCTCATCTGGGAAAAATCTCATCCTCCTCTTCCTCCAAGTCTCTTTTTTTAAAAAAAATGTTTTTATTGATTTCAGAGAGGAAGGGAGAGGGAGAGAGCGATAGAAACATCAATAATGAGAGTGAATCATTGATCAGCTGCCTCCTGCACACCCCACACTGGGGATTGAGCCCCCAACCTGGGCATGTGCCCTGACGGGAATGGAACAGTGACCTCCTGGTTCATAGGTCAACGCTCAACCACTGAGCCCTGGGCAGAGGAGAGGGGGTGTCCAGGGATCTTAATATGTCTAATCCTGGAGGGCCTGGGAAGTGCTGATTGATTATCCCCACTTCCACCACTCTCCATGTGGCCTCCCATGTCTACCTCCACCTCCGGGAGCCTTGGACTTGGGACCTAGGGCCCTGGGCTTGAGCCTAGCGTTACCACTTAGAAGCTGCAGACCTTAGTCAAGTCCCTGAGCTAAGGTCTCCTTACCTGTGCAAGACTTGGTAGCAACCACCTCACTGAACAGGTGAGGGCATGCTGTGAGATTGTGCATATGAAGCTGCCTCCACCATTAAGCAATAAACAGTATAGACCCTGGAGCCAGACTGCCTGGGTTGAAACCCCAGCTCCCTCACATACTAGCTGTTTGACTTTGGGCAAGTTACATAACCTAGCCAAGCCTCGGTTTCCTCATCTGTAAAATGGGGATAATAGTTAACTACCTCATCGGGTCATCAAGAGGGTTAAATAATTTGCTGTTTGTAAAGTATTTAGAGCAGCCTGCCTTCTGGTGTTTGCTGTTATTATTATGGTTGTTGTTACTGCCCTCCTGTTGCAGTGCCCACCAGAGCTCACTGCTGCCTCTGCTCCTCCCCCTGGGGACAGTCAGGCACAGTTGAAACAGATGTGCACCCTCCTCCCATCGGAACTGACCAGTGCTCCCCTCCAGCCCCTCACCTGGGTGGTGGTGTAGGCGTCTCCGTTGCGGTATCGAGTGACTTGGCGTGTGCGGCGGACATAGTGGTAGCTGATGGCCTTCCACCAGATGCAGGGTGTGGCCTGCTGCATGCGGCCCACACGCTCCCGGACACTGGTTACATCAACACGGTGCTGCAGCTCATGGCGGGCTTGGCAGTGCCAGCACTCCACCAGATAGACAGCATACAGCATGAGCAGGAAGGCCAGGGGGATGTAGACATAGCCGTTGGAGCAGGGGCTGTCATGGTACATGAGGCTGTTGCCCTGATAGGCGCTGCTGAAGGTGAGGCGGGTCACCGTGGTGACGTGGCACCAGGCCACGGCCCCCAGGCAGCCGTACATGAGCAGGGAGAGCAGCAGGCACTTCCAGTGGGACTCCCGGCAGAGGGACTTGGTGAAAGAGGGCTGGATGGGACGCTGCTACTCAGAGGGACAGGAAGAGGGGCCACGATGAGAAGGAAGTGGGACAGTGGCAGGACCCAGAACAGAGATGGATGCAGGGATGGTGGGGCAGAGGCCAGCATCAGAGATGACAGGCAGAGACCGGCAGGGATGTGGAGAGAACATGTAAGACCGAGAGGGGAGCCAAGGACCAGAGATAAACATGGAAGTGACCCAGAGTGAGCCATGAGGACAGGAAAAGGGAACAGAATGCCAATACAGGGAAGTGCAAAGAGACAGACACCCCAAGAAGCAGGAAGAGATCAGCGCCAGAGAGGGAGGGAGGAGGCCCAGGTGGTCAACACAGATGGATAGGGTGGCACCCAGAGAAACAGAGTCCAAGGACAGACGCAAAGGCGGCAATGGAACGGGAGAAAGTGGAGGGGAGGACAGGGGAGGACAGACAGGCATCAGCGAAGGCAGGTCCCCAGCCCAGACCCCTTCCAGATGCTTCACTGACACCACCTTCCCACTTAACAGGTGGGGCCCCCACTTCCAGACGTTCAGTCCGATGATCTGGAGGCCACTCCTCTTTGGCCCATCCACCTCCAAGTCCCTCACAGACAATTAGCCTCACACCTCCTTTGGAGGGGGGCCCCCAGGAAACTTGAGGCCCAGTATCCTTCCCCCTGCTCTGCACCCCAGGCCCTCTGTGAGTCTCCCTCTTATACCCTAACATCCTTCCCCTGTTCTCAGATGGGAGGGAGGGGGCTGGTGTCCCTGAGCAAAAAGCAGTCCCGGAGGAGATATCTAGAAGGGCAGAGGCATGGGGGCGGG